AGAAAGATTCTAAAGCTCAGATCCTTAGCATGGCCGAAGATGAAGTACATCATAGGAGATGGCAGGACAACTTCTCTATGGTTTGACAATTGGCATCCTCACAGCCCGCTCGCGGATTCTTACGGCGACAGATTCATCTATGATTGAGGTATGGAAAAGAACGCGAAGGTGAATATGCTGATTCATAACTCAGAATGGAAAATTCCTACCACTCACGCTATTGGATGGCACCCCATTGTAGAAGCTATTCCTTCCAATTCTAATCCTATGATAGGGCAAAATGATGAGATTGTTTGGCTGGATTCACATTGTAGAAGCTATTCCTTTCAATTCTAATCCTATGATAGGGCAAAAGGATAAGATTGCTTGGCTGGATTCACCAAATCACAGATTCTCGATCAAAGTAGCTTGGGAACAACTAAGATTTCATCATCCGATAGTTGAATGGCATGACATTGTGTGGTTCAAGAATGTTGTTCCAAGACATTCGTTTCTTCTTTCGGTGGCTAACCTGTAGCCATCTGTTGTTTTACATTTCTGTTCTCATTATAAATCTGGGGTATGTCCCTTATAATCTTTGTATCGTTTTCCTTTAATATATACGTTAACTTACCAAAAAAAAAAATATATCCAAGAAACACGACACTTTCTTTACAGAAGTAACTTTGTGAGTTTCCTATACAACTTCGAATCTCACAAAGTTTCAAACACAACTCTAAGATGCTTCACATGATCATCAAAGGTCTTGCTATACACCAGGATATCATCAAAATATACTACAACAAAGAGCCCAATATACTTCCTCAAAACATGATTCATAAGCCTCATAAAACTAGGCGCATTAGATAACCCAAATGGCATTACCATCCATTTATATAACCCGTGTTTAGTTTTAAATGCTATTTTCCATTCATCTCCCTCTTTCATTCTAATTTGGTGATAACCACTCATCAAATCGACTTTAAAAAACAATGCAGCACCATGCAACTCATCAAGCAAATCATCAAGTCTGGGTATAGGAAATCGATACTAAACTGTTATTTTGTTGGTAGCACAGCTGTCCATACACATCCTCATGGTACCATCTTTCTTCAGTACAAGCAAACTAGGTATGGAACATGGACTAAGTGATTCTGGAACATAGCCCTTCTCTAAGAGCTCACCAACCTACCTTTGAATCTCTTTTGCTTCCTCTAGATTACATCTGTATGCTGGTCTATTAGGAAGTGAAGCTCCCGACACCAAATCAATTTGATGCTCTATTCCACGAATAGGCGGTAACCCTTTAGGTAATTCATCTGGAAACACATCTTTAAATTCTTCAAGTAATTTGGCACGACTAAAAGATTGATGTCTTCTCCCAAGTGCAGGACTGTCGAAGTAATAAATAAACCGGCAAAACCGGGGTCGAACCACAAAGAGGTTAATTGTATAAATTATAGACAACAATTATAAACAACAACAATAATAAGAATAACAACAATAATAATAGTAGCAATACTAATACTAATACTAATACTAATACTAATACTAATACTAATACTAATACTAATACTAATACTAATACTAATACTAATACTAATACTAATACTAATACTAATACTAATACTAATACTAATACTAATACTAATACTAATACTAATACTAATACTAATACTAATACTAATA